CTCACATCTAAATGGTATAAAATCCCCATTTAAAATGACGAGACACCAAGACTTAAAATCACAGGCTCAACACACGCACGTATTAACAAGACTGACCGCGGGTTGTCTGTCAAATCTCCAATGAAGTGCAACCATAAAACACACTCTCCACTAGGTTGTGCGCAAGTGCATTCTCATACTCAACACTAGAGGGCAGCAGAGGACCTCTGACAGTTTAGCAAAACATATTGTTCACCTAGGATCCAGATTGTTCCACCACCAAAATAAGATGACAGGCGTGTCCTCATCTTGAACCGTACTGCCCAACTCTGCCAGTTTGTCATGGCTCATAAGCAAACCACCCTTCCGGGTGTCTCATCCATTTGAAATGCCTGTCCCTTGCTTGAAGCCAATGTCAACATGCAGACAGTCAATGCCAGATCACAAACCGTCCCTGACTGCTTAGCCTTTCAGAATAATTCAAAATAAAAAGAAAACCAAGCTGGTTTTGTGTTCCGATAAGTCAAAGTCCCATGCATTTCTGGACGCCTCATCGCAGTAGCAACATTTTCCGACTTGTTTATAGGATAAACATTATTTCTATATGGCCAGATCTGGTATCTAGCTGCCTGTATTTATTTAGAGGAATCAAGCTACATAAACACTACTGTGTGGGGGGTTGGGGGGGAGGGGGCAGATCGACTATGACAAAGCCTGAAGGCAGCATCTGGAACGAGAGACCGATCTGATGCTATCATTACCCAGCAGGTCTGCACAAGCTTGGCACTGTCACATGGGGAATGAGTATAAAGATTCACAGTCACAGAATACTCAACTGGTTGGTTAAAACAAAACCTTGGTCTGGATTTGTATTTTCTGGACATGAACTTTCCACCTCTGGATAAAATTCAACTTGTAAAATGAAGAAAAATTGGTTTAAGTGGCACAGCTGGAAATCTATACACACCCCTCTCTTCCAGCCATGTCCCATGTCGGGCTGAGTGGAAATCCTGAGCTTCATTACCCTACACCTGGGACATGTGATTTCCAATCTGAAATGGGGGTGGTCTAAGCAAGCTCCAACCAATACTTTCAGACAAACATTAGCAATGTAATTATGACCTCTGTTAAACTACAGTGAGCCTCATGACCGCGTGCAGAAGGACCAAAGCAGCAGCACAGGTTTGACCAGATGGAGCAGCACAGGCATCACATGACAGAATCACTAACCCGGAAAATCAGGAAAAGGGATTTCCTGTGACAGCACTGGGTCAGATTTACAACACTCTGCTCTCTTTAGCCACCAGCTCTTAGAGCACCCCCAAATCTTTTGGCCATGTTTTCACCTAAATTTACCCCCCCGACAGTTCTTTTCATGCTCTGCTACACTTGCCCAAAGTTCCTTTTCGTACGCAGCGCATAGCTCTTAGTAAACAGATCGGCAACTTGCAACTGCTGCAAATCCCACTCCCAAGTAGAAAGAAAGCCCTATTTAACCCAGTGTAGCCCCTGGAATGGAAACATTCTCAGGACCTGCATATTAAGACGACTGCTTAAAAGATACTAAGAACATCCACAAACTCCGAGCAAAGATGAGAAGGTCTTAATTGTTTTTCTTAATTCTACACGTCCAGATTCCCTCTGATTTCAATCACAATCTGATACAGCACTGGGAGCCCTATGAATAAATGAGCGGCTGGAACCTGTCGCCATCCGGTTTGTTTTTAAACAGATCAGAGCACATCACGCAGGCCTAATGCATTAGCTGAGCTGCACTCGGACCGATATCCACGGTCGCTGCGCTCCGGGGTCTAAAAACAGCCCCATTGTGCAACAGCCGGTCCACTGTAACAGAAGATTACACTTTGATCTGCAGATAAATCAAAGCAGCCGCCTAAACTTCGGTCAGATGTACAGTCCCCAAAAGTGGCCAGCAAAGGTCCTCAATATAGTACAGCCAGCAATCCTAGTTATTTACAGCACCAGGGAGAAATAAAATGGGCATCTATAGCCTTTTACAGAGCAGAAGTTCATAAACACCCCGGGAGAGACTCATAAAATTCACTGCTTTTAACACTAACCAGCACAGTAGCCTTACAATCCTACTCTCATCAGCGACGAAAGACATAAACAGGCTAATACGTTATAGCATTTTCATTACTGTTTGATCTGATGGCTTATAATTCAGTAAACAGTTTAGCGCACTTGCAATGCGACACTACAGCTGGCTAAATAAACAGTAGCTGTGCAAAAAAAAGCCAGCGCATTTGTGTGTCACCCACTCGGGAAGAGAGATTTTGCAGCGCGTTGGGAAAACAGAGGGCCAGTGTTTCGGCACAAAGCGCTCGGCCAGTCACGTGAGGTGCGGCGCGCGGAGACAATGGAGCGGCTCGAGCTGACAGCGACGCGCACGATCGCCGCTATAATTATAACAAACTCGCCATTTGTTCATCTTTCTCTAAGTTACGAAATATAACATTAAAACGCAATGCCTTCTGTCATTTTGCGAAGCGCTGCGTCATGCATTGTGTATGTATTATACACAGTAGAGTAAGGGATCGATTTAATTATTTTAAATACTCTGATTTCTAACTCATAAAAGCTTGAGGTAAGATGAATGCGATGTCTTAAAATAGGAAATCACATTATATCATAAACCGCTTTCTACCGAGTATATTTTGTAGCAATTATTAAGTTAAAACCAATACAGCATTTTAAAAAACCCGACTGTTATGCACCCGAGTACATAACAGCTTTGCAAAGAGTCTATGCTTGCCACACATAAAAAATTAATTGTAACTTGTTTAACACAACAACAAGAAAGAAAATATCTCAGTGAATATGATTTTGAAGGATTATGAAGCTCACGCTTAGCTCAGAGCTTGACCTCGGTACTATGCATGACGCTGCGACTTCACTAGAGTAGAGTAGTGACAGGTGGTGTTCCTGCTAAAAACACTCACCTAGGGCGCAAAAAAATATGATCGCGATGGACAACAGCTGCTTGCTGGCGTACGATGCCATGCCTTCAGTCCAGCGGTGCCACAATAAATCACTTAAAAAAAAAAAGACACGACAACACCGCAAGAGACGAGGTCCGTACGACAGCTGACACAACACCAGCACAAAAGCAAAACTGTACGATTTTCTCAGAAGCCTCGACAAACAAACGCCGGGTATCTTCAAATATTCTTTATGAGTGGCTTTTTCTCAGAACGCCCCAGTTGTTGGAAAGGACCACTACACCAGTGTCAAACGCGTATCCCTGTAGTGCCGAAGCAAGAAATTTCTCGGTCATGTGAGTCGGGGTGTTACCACCCCCAACATCACGTGATGAGTACCAAATCTCAGATCTCACGAGAGTCTGTGTATCCCGAGACTTCACAGGCGCTGCACTTCCAAAATATTAATTACCGACATCCGCTCGCAAAGTCCTGCAATATATCTTTCATTTGAGAGATGCAAAAGATTCAGTTTACGGCTAACAAAAACGAAGTGTTCTGAAATTATGGGCTTGTCGAGCATTTTAAATGAAAGAATGTGCAACTACATGATCGCAGTGTAACCAAACACACACTATAATTAATATGTATTAATTTCATGTTGTCTGTTAGTTCATTCTGGCGTTTAACATGATCAGAAGGATTATGTCACGCTGCGGTATGCATGTGAAGACAAGAATGGAGGTCAGGCGGACAGGATAGAGTCAGCTGACATTTAGTAATTCACAGGGGTGTGTTGAAACCCGGAAGAGGGGGGGTTGGTTGCTCTAAAGGCTTTGGCTTTGTTGTGCAACCTCATTTACCACTTAAGTGTCATTTACTACTCCGGTTCTGCAGGACGCAGTACTAGAATACCTCATTGACATACAAAAGTGATGTGGCATAATTAGCCGAAATACGGGAAAGACATGTGAAGAGTTTAGATAGCAAAAAGGAAAGGGTGCAAGCCGTCCGTGTAGTCCTCAGCACGAGTTTCATTTGCGGTAGTGGTACCGTACTAAAGAAGTTATAAAACGAAAGAAACCTCATATAATGTTCTACATGTCGGTGTTGGGAAAATAAAAGTACCAAAGTTCATATAAGCTTTTCAATTAGTTTTTTCAGTGGTACAAATTAATCAGCTATAACTCAAAAAGCATTTTGACTTCTGTTTTGGTAGCTTGAATCCAATTGTTGCAGTTCTTGGCACTAGAAAGGCTAGTATTAAATCAATTACAATTAAACCATTAAAGCCTATCCACTTAACGACAGCACTTGACAAAGTCACCCATTGTGGTTTGTGAGTGCTTGTTTGTCTCCTCTTTAATAAAGCTCAATTCATTACTCAATAAAACTCATAATATGCATAAAGTATTCAAGATCAGTATTCAGAAATTAAGGCTTAAAAATCACAGTGCAGGAGGAGGGGACACTGGGTCTCTGGGTCTGCATCACATGCCAGCATTCAATGAATTCTTTATAGTAATATTTTGCAAATTAATCGAGATGCTCTTCTTTTTAAGCCTTGGGTGATTTAAGTCTTTGGGCAACTGCAGAACACAGTAGCAGATATTTACCTGTAATATTACTTTGACTCATTTTAGTACTGGGATACAAAAAAAAAAAAACCAGCACCACAACCCTGTTGAGGTACTGTTCTTAGTCAAGCTATGGATTGATATATCCGGTATATTCACATAGAACAAGCTGGGGAACCACACCCATTCGCAAATGTACAGGGCAGAGAACGAACACATAACCTTAAACAGTACAAAGGGAGACAGGCTTTAAACAACAGACCAGTACAATGAAATGAAATAACCAAATTCAGACAAAAGGCAATTTTTCCAGACACATATTTGGAGCTTACAGCATTGTATAGTATATGTAATCTTACTGACCCAAGTCTAACATCAGCTAAACTACTTAAAATCTAAGAATCTTAGTTTAAGGGGTTCATGTTATTCAATGTTGTTCAATCACTGAAATGTTAGCATGGAAAATATTGTCTAAAAGGAACAATGTGCCCAAACCAACTCCTTAGACTTACACAACTTTTTCTTTCTTTAAAGATTTTTATTTATTTTTGTTTAACATTTTTTTTCAACTCCTTACAGAGCTAGAAGCTTGTCTACAAAAAAAAAAAAAAAAACGTATAGAATGCAAACGGTTTGATCATTGCGATCGTAAGGAAAACCTAACAAAAGGCAGGGCGACCCCTCAGCGTTACGCCGTGGGTGTAGTGTCCCCACCCCGACCGCTTCTGCGCCCCATGCGACCTCTGCGCAAACGTGGGAACGCAGATCGTCATGAGAAGGTTTTCCGTTTCAGTGTTGCTCGCGACTGAATAAGTGCCTAAGTAAAAATAACATGCTCCAGGTTTATGGTGCCGTCTCAGAAATGAGGGGCAGCCCAGCTGTATATTAATCATTGGTTCTCACAGTTTCTGAGCTGCTCGTCAAACTGAAACAACATGGCTGAGACAAAATAAAGCGCTACAGCAGAACAGACCATTGGGAAGGGCGGGGGAGAACAAAATCAACAATCATTAAAATGATCATGTAAGAAAGTGCTTCAGAGTGAATCCAGCAGACTCGCGTTCTACTCTGCCTGCCTGGTGCCCATGTTCAGTATTTACATGCATGGCCTTTAAATGAAGAGTGCGATACAGAAAACGGGCACATCAAACGGTGCCGACCACCAAAGGAACAACCGGGGTACGAGCCCACGTCACGAGCCCGGTCAGGCCACGTAGTGGTACTGATTGGGGCTCTCTTTGTCACGCTCCATGTAGTCACGATCGATGAGGGACTCAATCCTCTTCTTTAGGTCCCCAGGCTAGAGGTAAAGAGAAATCAGTGACAGGGGTTAGTGTCTATTTGCAAACACATAAATTTACATGAAGGAAGGAAATGTGGTGAAGGAGGGGTGAGGATGGGAACAAGGATGAGAAAACAGGGATTTGAGACCTTAACAGGGAACTTTAACTGGTTGTAGAGCTCGGAGACCAGCAGAGTGTGACTCAGAGTCTTCCTCATCTTCATCACACGCACGATAGCGGCGTCAATCTGGTACTGGCGGTCCTGGAACACCCTCTCAGTGGTGCTCACCTGCTCCTCCACCTGTAGGGGAGGTAACAGAGAGAAGCCCCTGTTCAGTGGGTTGCCTGATTCTCACCATCCACTGGTGTTCCACAGATGAAGGCTGTGTCCGAATTCAGGGGCTACACCCTTCGAAGGACGCGGTCTACTTAGTCAGGGTAGGCTGGGATATGTTAGGCAGCGAAGGATCCAATGGGCAGATCCTTTGCAAGTGGGCAAAAGGAGGATGCGTTTCTAGACCAAATTTGAAAGAGACTTTGAAATGGGACGTCCTTGTCGCAACACTGAGACGTATTCGGTCTTCGAGTGCCAGCTTAGAATCCCCTGAATTTGAACATATCCTAAGAATCATACTTCATCTGACACACAAACGGCCAAAAACAAAAGTGCAACCCCACCGTCTCCTTCATCTGGATCTGGTTGATTTTGATACGGAAGAGCTTGTGTCTGAAGTCTGAGTTGAACTCGAAGCGGTCCCCGTCCTCGACGTCCCTCCCGCGGGGGGTCTTGTTCAGGACGCGTGCCTTGCCGCATGCCAGCGACTGCAGCGTGCGGCGCAGCTCTCCATCCTCTGCGAGAAGAGCGGCAGGCGCAGGCGTCACCAGCTGGGTGGCCAGAAACAGCCAGGGCTGCCTGTTCCACCATCCACACCTTTGTTGGGTCAAGAACCTCCTACTACAATGTCAGGTGAACAGAGTAGGGAGGCACTCAGAGTTACCTATGCCAGTTGCAGAGCGGATCTCCTGCACAGTGAACTCATCTCCCTCGTTGAACATCAGCAGTACCAACGTCTGGAACAGTGAGACCTGCAGCTCCTTCTTACCCTACGGGAGCCCCGGAAATCAAAACTGTATTCATCCATAAGCTATAACTAGGAGTCAGCTAATTATGGAAATTGGTTCTCATAACCAATTCAGCATAACCACTGAGGTTAAAAGTATTACTGCTGACAAACGGTACCCTGGTGATCCATCAGCTCTGCTGACTTGAAATATGCCGGTAACCATATCAGACCACTGCTTCCCCACCCGAGCACCTGGCCAGTGTCCAACCAATCAGGACTCACCTCCTTGAATTCGGACTTGAGCACTGCATGGCCAAGAGTGGGCTGCCACTGAAGCTTCCGGCCGCTGTGTTTCCCCAGGTAAAACGTTTTGAACACCTCCTGCAGCTTCACCATCTATGGGGAGAGAGGAAACAGATGTTACATGAAGAGTCTCCTGACAGTGAAGCACACACACCCTCATCTCCTCACCCAGCTCCCCACCCCTTCCTGGGAACACACGAACCTCAGAGGGGAGATGGACCTCCATGGGTGTATACGACGGCCAGTAGCCCATGGTCAGGATGTTCACAGTTAGCTCGATGTTTCCTGGGTCACTTTGGTTCTGCATGTACTGATCGGTGGATGGGAAAAGCAGCAAGAACATTAACGCATTTTACAATAAATTAGATCTACAAAATCCTAGGGGGAAATTCTTGCAGTTATACATAAATTTTCACATTCAACCAATGCCAGATGTAAAAACCTCAGTTCATTACACCCCTTTCCCACGGAATAGCCCCTCCTAGGTGGGTACCTGCTTGAACTGTATCATCACGTCCTTGGACAGCTCCATGTCTTTGAACATCCCCTCCAGCTTGCTGGTGAATGCCGCCCCACACTCTGCAGGGGCAGAACACCAGCGGTCTGGACTCACTTTCCGCCGCAAACAGGAGGACGAGAGCCCAGCCCGCGTCGCTCAGAAAGGCTCTGTCCGCGGCCGAATTCTCACCGTGTTTGAGCTTGGAGAGCATGGACTTCTCCGCATCCACGGAAGCACTCTTGCCCACCAGCAGACGCTTGGCCAGGTCCTTTTTGTAAAATGCCTCGAACACATCCTTTCCTGAAAACATACGGGTTTATCGACAACACGGGTGAAGGACAGTATGCAAACCCCTTTCATGCACATGAGCATTGTGCAAACTGCTATGGCCAACAACCTCAGAAAAACAGATTTTGCCCAAATATAATTAAGGCAGCACAGAAAAGGCATTTGTAATAAAGGCAATTGTAATACAAGAACCCTTAAACTACTTATCTATATTACAGTTTCAAACAGTAATATTTTATGGGGCAATACTGTCCATTCATTCAATTTACTGTGCAAAGGGAGGGGGTAGTTTTTTTTATCCAAAACTGTGGTGAAATTCAGTAATTTAATTACATGGTATAAACACTCCAGTTCTAGTTTACACAGGGAAAACAAAACAGACTTTCATAGCTGCTAATGTCAGAGGGACACTGGATTTCTGTATCAGTAGGTTAGACAACCAGGTCATGAGATCTGAAGGGTCCATATGCAGTAAATACTTAGGTCTCTGCACATCTCAAAAACTATAATTCACAAGACCTGTTAATGGACAGAAAGAGAACAGGTCATGGCACAGTGCCAAAGTTCTGCTTCACGCCACATAGGCTAAACTAACCGTGAATGAAGCGGAAGATGATCATGATCTTGTCCAGGATTCGCTCCAGTTCCTCGTCGGTGGCCTCCTTGTTGCCTGCACGCAGCTTAGAGTCCACATACTTTGCTGTGGAAGATCGGAGATGGAAGAGACCACGCTTGATAACTTCCAAACAAGAGCATGTAGTTCACTTTCCACATGACTGGGTTTTCATTCCCTCATAGGTGTGATGTGATATGGGCAGTATCTGGTTTAAGTTGTCATAATGTAGATGTTTTTTTTAAGTTCACACTCAAAGAGCATGTTAAAATACATAAAGACACAAAACCAAAGCAAAAGCTAGAGGGTACTAGCTGGGCAGGGTGATGGGACTGATGTAGTTCCAGAGTAACGACAAAGTTCAGTAACCTATGAGCTCCGCCGGCTTGTTGGGCCTCTTGTTGATGAAAGTTTCGAAGGACTCTTTCATGGCGTTAAGGAAGCTCTCGTTCTTCTGGAAGCAGGTCTGGATGATGTGGTCAGTCTTGTCCTTGAAGTCCAGAAGCTCCTGGACCATTTCCTTGTCCTTCTCTGGGGTCCCAACAATTGTACCCCCAAAATTCTACAAAAGGACACCAACGCATGCATGTGTCTGCTTTGACAGAGTACAGCTCCCTGTGTGTGTGGGCTTTTGTAGCTCATGAAGCCACTTGAAGTGCCACACGCATTACCTTGATATAGTCCCTCCAGTGCTGCAACAGGGCAGCCAGGCCTCCCTTGACTCTGCTGAAGAGCTGGAAGAGCAGGGCCAGCTCTGTCACACGGTTCTCATTCAAAAGACTGTCCAGGCCTGGAGTGTTACACACAGATGCAGACTGAGCATCACCTTCAATAAGGCCTCAGGCAAGCGAGCAAAGACGCCTTAACGCATGCAGAAACACTCTCTCTGAAAGCTTGCACATCAAACCGAAAGTGTTAGCTCAACACCTCTGATTCTGCTTGCCTTGGCGATTCCCCGGCATCAAATGCTCTCGGCCTCAGTCATGCCAATACAGCTCATTTGCAGTTTTAATACCAATCCTGTACCTTTCTGCAAGACGGCAGTCAAATGTTCACCCAGCAACTGCTTCTCCACAGTGAATATCAGTGGCTTCCTGTGCACATGGAAGCGGGGATTCAGTCAGTCGTACGCTAGTCTACAAACCTAACTGCCACAGTTGGCCTGGCCGCATAAGGTCCCACTTACAGTCGGGCCCTACGATACAACCCAAGAACTATCCGAAAGCGTTCACCCTCAGTCCACAGGACTCAAGGTTAGAGAACAAGCAGCACTCACTGCGTGTTCTGGTCCAGGTAGGTGATGACACGGTCGTTCTCCTCCTCCAGCCGGCGAGACACATGGTGTAGGTACTGAGGAACCTGTGCAAATAGACGCAGGGGCTCAGGTGTGCCGGCAGAAAGGCCATATCGCCACAGTCAGGTAACGAATGGCGTGTGGCCAACCTCTCTCTCCTGCATCAGTCGCTGACCTTCGGCTGCATAGAGGCGATTCGTGTCCATCAGGAACTTCTGCTCAAATGAATCCTTATAGACCTGAGAATGAAGAATAAGACACGGTCATAGTGTATCCTCACTGTTTTGGCCACCACAAAATAAGCATATTGTAACCAATAAGCCAGATCGTACTGTGTTTTTTTTTTTTTTTTCGGATTAGTGCTAGTCATCGTGGAGACGCGAGTCACCTGCAGGTCCGAGAGCATGCTGAGCAGGCTACGCAGCAGGCTGCGGTCAATAGTCTCTCCGTTGCGTTCACACTCGATCTGCTCCAGGATCCCATCGACCGTACGGCTCTGAACTGCGTGGTCACTCACGATATGGGTCCGGAAAAGCTCCAAGCCCGTGTCCCTGCCAGCACGACCACAGCACCATAATTACAGAACGACATGGCTAAAAGGCACAGTGGCCGGCAAGCATCTTCAGGCAAACTTAATTTTGTTTGTTCGAATGGCACAAAACCGGAGTAACTTTTCTGGGCCCAAAGTGCAGTTATAGAAGTGGGAAAAGAACTCTCTCGAGACCTGGATCGTCAGATTCCTAGAAAGATCTATTATTTGCTTGAGAAAACACATCCACTCATTTGGTTATACAAGCAAGGATAGGGAACCCAATCCTGCTTCTATAGAAAGAGCGCCTTGTGCTTATCACGTAACACGATGTCCAAAAGCTGCAAATAAAGTCATGTGACTGGAGTTCTTACCAAATAGAAGGCAGCAGTGAGTTCTGTAGGACGTAAGTGCGATCCAGAAACAGAAAAATACTCCGGATCATGATCTACAGATAAGGAGGGCAGGGAAAAAAAAAAATAATTAAAAAAGATTTGAATTTCCCCACCATTAAAATGCTTACGGACTGTCACATGGCAAAAAATGTACATGTAAACTATTAAAAAAGACCAAACGTAGTCGTCTATACTTACTGTCTGCCTACAGTGATCCTGCCAGCACCTGTCCATTCTCTTCAAGAAGGAGACATTGTCCAGAGAGTCCTTAAGCTGCTGTTAAGGATACTATCATAATGAGGGGGGGGGGGTGACATACCAAACACCAATATACAGGCAGGCTGGGCCCATAATACCAACAGGTCTGCTCCCTAGAAGGGAAGAGCACAGAACCTATAGTGCCACCTGGTGGCATAATCAATAACTCACCCGGCAATGTTGGCTAAATTCTGAAGGACATTCTGCCTAAAGCTGCTCCACGCTTATCACTACAGAATGACAAATATTATCAGGGGACTCTGGTGAAGGGCCTGAGGACTTACTAAACCAACTCCAAGGCCTGAAACTCTCTGCAAGTCTCTCACATCAAATATCAAATCCAGGGAAAATACAGGGTAATATGAAAGACTGGCATTGAAAATAACCCTCAAGACTTACTATATTTCAATATAAAATTAACTCAGGGTTGGGTTTTTAAGTTAGATCAGAAATTTCCTAAGGATAGAGATTAAGTTACCATTCAACAAACTGACACTACACCAAGCAGATTCAATTACAAAAACACATCGACACATCAGAATGAGTAACACTAAGGGTTGCAAAGGGGTGGAAAATTACTGGTAAATTTCTAGAAACTTTCCATGGAAAGTAGGGTGTAAAGGAGTGGAAAATTTCTGGGAATCCATGCTGGAACTCCATGCAAAATGTCAGACACGGCAAAGAAAGAAAACTAGACACATAATACAACACAGAATAAGAATTATAAGGAGTGTGTTTTGATCCAGATGCTTATTTTGGGGTGTTTTTTGCACACATAATTATAAGCATGTGATTACACTATGATAACACTATCAGAGTTATCAATGTTTTCTGTATCAATTACATTTAAGTTCCCTGTTACAGGCTAACCTGCAATTTTGCCAATTTCCTGTATATTCCCATTAATTCCCGTGGAAAGTTTTTTTGCAACTCTGCTAATGCTCCTACATTAGATTGTCACTCTCAACCTAGATCACGTCTGTATAATTCAGATGACGAAGAGTTGAATTTCAGGCAAAGGATATTCACTGAACTGGTGGATCTGGGCTTTCACGTGGTCCTCACAGACCTGCCGAAGTTGCTTGTAAAGCTTGGGAGAAACCTTGTAAGTGCACAAGTTCTCCACAGCCTGGAAACAGAAGGGTGTACAGGAAAAACTAGTTAGGAGTGACAGATTCTACTCATATGTTTTGCACTGGGAGTATAGCTATAGTGTTTTTTTTTTTTTGAAAGGTGAGAAGCACAAAGGATCAGTAAACTTGCCAAATGCCTTTCAGCTAACAAATGACTGACACTCAGCTGAACAATCAAGCAGAGGACTAGAATGAAAGCTGGAAAACTTTCACTAATTGTGAGTCTCCTATCATCTGTGAATGTGCAGCACACTTTACACTCAGCTGTTAGGCTTCCACAGAAATTTGACTCTTGACCCCTGACCCCAGTGCTGACCTGATAAAGTTCCTCCAGATTGTACTTGATGGCGGTGCTGCTCTGAATGGCACCCACTGCATCTCTCAATTTCAGCCACGTCTCCTCTGTGTAGTTGTCTGCCAACTTGGGCCTATCTGTAGCATGAAGAGAAAACAGATAAACACGTAAAACTCAGTGAAGTACAACTTCCAGGCTATCACATATAAATGAAGTGTCTGTGGAAATGCTGGAAGGGGTGTGCTTTTAGCAGCTTCTCTCCATGTCACTGCAGCTTCTCAAGTGACCTTAAACGTTCATAGAGCAGACAGAGTCTGTTTTAACTCTAGCACATTAAGAGCGGTCCTGTGGCTATCGTTAAACTAACCTCTCAGCATTACATTTATTTACTTAGCAGATGCTGTTATCCAAAGTGATGCCCGAAAACAGGGTCAACCAGCACACTAGCAGGGATATCATTACTTTGACAGTCATGGAATTTGAACCTACAACCTATTGGATATGGAACCCAAATCTGCAGAACTACAGATTGCCCACCCCATGGACAATACAAAGATGGCAGGAGACATACTAAATATGGCAGCACAGAAAGATGAATATGCCAATTGCGACCTACAACTTTGCAATCTAAGAGCAGTATTGGGAAGTTGGTTTAATATTTTTACAGCAGTTAATATACCTTTGGTAAAATTCAAATGAAGGATTCAGTGAAGGCAAATACAGTATGTACCAAAATGGTTAACGATGCCTGACAGCTGAGAAGTGTGCAACAGTCATAACAGGAAGGGTTTCCTGGGAACTTCGAGGCTTTATGTAGATTGTTGCAGCGATAATTTTGACTACATGCATAAATGCGACATATGTGCAATACCATACTGTCAGCCAAAGGAAACACATACGCACCCATGTAATTCCCCTTGCATTAATTTAGCCAATGATCGATATGTGTTACGCATTTTAAGCATGGACCCATTCCAAAACCTAGTGAATGAGTCCTGGTAGGAAGCTCTGATGTTACAACTCCGGCAGTTAAGGAGTTACTACACTGCTTATTTCTCCAGTTTAACAACAACAAACATGCTGCAACCATGCGTCATTCCCAGCAACCATCCCAGCGGCTCCCGACCCTCGGCCGGCCTCAAGCGGTTGTCAGTGGCCCTGTGGCACGGTGACAGGCGCAAGGCGGACGCGACCCCGGGGACAACCTACCTTTAAAGTTTTTAATAACTAACTTCTTAGACGCGCCGGACTTGGAGGACAGGGCGGAGGATTTGGTGAGGCCGTTGGCATGCTCGCCCAGAGCGGAGAAGTTGGCCTTTCTGCTCTGGCCAATGTCCTCCCCCATGGTGATGGGCTCTCAGCGGATCTCAGCGCTCTGTCTCGTTGTCTCTGTCTCCCCCCTCCCCCGGTCTCTATTCCGGATCCTGGCGCTCCTCTGCTACGTCCTCGTCGCCTTTGGGTGTCTGGAAATCACTCCCTTCGTCCCACCGGGCGCTGATAAGCGTGCGGCCGCACATTGACAGTCGGCCAGCGCTTCAGAGTGTGCAGGCCGCCCGGCGGCTCTCCGCTAGCGACGCGGAGCTATCTACAGGCCGTGGCGAGTACTTCCCCGGTGTCCCGCCTTCCTGGCCATAAAAAGCTTGACATCGTACTCTGATTTATTATTATTATTATTATTATTATTTAATAAATCAAAGTTCAAAGCAGTCACAGAAGCAGGTGAGCTCCTATAAACAATCTCGTTGCTTTCATGGTTATGGAAACATCCAGCAAAATGGCCTCCCCCGGTGCTTCATGGGAAATTCCCGGCGCGCTCTGAGTCGCTTAACCGCTTCACTGCCGGTCGGAAATTCATTAAAATAAGTGTCATTGTGACTCTTGCTATTGATAATAATGATAATTGCTGTTATTTTTCCAAATGCGATTACTGCAAATGTGGTAAATACAAATATACTGGCAGGTGGTTACCTGTGTTTGGAGAATTAACAAAAAATTGGATATGCCTCCCATTTGATCAGAACGTCGCGATGTATTGCAGCCGGACAACAGCAGCAGAATCACACACTATTTATAGTACAAGCAAAACGGGACCAGTTTGGGTACAGAACTGTTTTATTTTTTTAACTGTTTACCAACTTCATGTATATATACGTAACACATTTACTTCAATTAAAGCTAAGATAATATAACGCACTACGAAATATTTTTGTAAGACGCTAAAAGCGGTGTAACTGTTTTCTGGCGAGGGGAGATCCTCCCCGAACGCATCAGGAAGTACTACCTCCGCGGTGATGTCACTGCGCAGCCGCCGTATCCTCTTCGCAGATTCAATTCACTGTAGCGCTAGTATTTCAGTAAAGGCATCACACGGGGGGCCAGCTGTGCGCTCCGTAACAGTTTTAAATGCAATCTGGTGTCTGAGAGTCTTTGTCGTTTCTGCCTGTGAAAGATTGCAATTGGATCGGGATCAAAGACCCTTCTGTGAGTCTTCTCTGAGCACCGAAACGTGATCCATTGCTTGCTGATTTTCATAGAAACCACCTAGCTAGCTACATAATGTTTACTTTAATACCTCGATCAAACGAACCGAAACGCTTTGCCCGATTAAAATAATTTATATTTATAGTTTAATAGACATCGTTACTAGTATCTCGTTAATATTAACCAGGAGATTTAAGTGTAAAGTGTACATTACTGCGATTCCGTAACGCGTTAACTATCTTTTCGCAGATTACACCACGGCTGTCAAATGGCACACATAACATTGAATCAGTACCTTCAACAGGTAAATTCAGCCTTCTCCCCAAATTTTGATCGCTTCCTCTGTTGAGGAAAGGGGTGACTGATTTTGCTTTGTTGGTCCAGGCACTGGAAGCGATAGAGAACAGAGATGGATCCTTCTGCGCGGAGCTGCTGTCATTCAAGCACCCGCACGTGGCGAACCCCCGCCTGCAGGTATACCCAGACCACGGTGCTCCACGACGGATCTGCAACTAGACAGTGTGCATTTACTGCAGTTCACGTTATCTATAATTATTTATTCACTTACTTGTATACTGTAATAAGTAGCCGCTTTTGTCCAAAGCAACGTACAAGTGAGTCAAAAAGCTCATTACAAACATATGACTGTAAAGGTGTCAACAAGGAATAAGTGCAATCAGGGGCATTGCTAGTGATTTTGGGACCAATAAAAACAAACCTCCCCCCAGTCCATACCAATCCAGTTATGTTCCAAATTTTTTAGGGCCCCTGAGTCCCAAATATTTCTTAATGGAAAGGGGCTAGACTGTCAATCTGGGTCTGTATGTCTGACTTTGTCCATGTGACTGTCCCTACAGCTCCCCAGTCCAGAGGAGAAGTGTCAGCAGTTGCTGGAGCCCCCCTATGATGAGATGGTAGCAGCCCATCTGAGGTATGCAAATGAGCTGGGTTGGGCGGGGTAGGGAGCTGGCCAGGCACTAACAGCCAATCACAGCAGTTTTAATCAGGCCGTGTGAAACCATGCTGGTTTAGCGATCCTGTGTCGGCTGTGTCTCGTCATCCAAAAGGGCCCCTTAAGTCATTGTCCTGAACAGAGAACTGTTGCCAGGCTGACATGGTGAATCACTTTAACTTTATAGAAAGCAGCCACATTCCCAGGAACTGTTTGCATTGCAGTTGTTTGTCCACCCAGACAGAGGAAACGGGAAAGTCCAAAGAAAGCCGCATAAAATAAGAGATTTCTGAGATTATTGAATGTGGCGTGTGCAGCGTATTAACTAATTCAGCAGTCAATGAACGCAGGTCGAACCAATGTGTCGCCTACAGACTAAAAGTGAGAAAATAATCCACATTTGATGGGTTAATTATTGATAATGTACAGTACCTCAAAAATGCATGCAGGCAGTGAGACATCTGAAATAAATCAGTGGAGACCTTGGCTGCATCATATTTATCATATTTACATCATATCATCTTGTTTCAAATGATGCTAAATTAACTGACTAAAATGATTTAAAGGAGGAAAGCAAATATGTGTCTGTAGATACAATAATATCTATCTGTATGTAAGATGTGTTTATGGGCAGCCTGGTTTTGGTCTCCTTTGACCCTTGACCTCTCTATGTTTGATCTCCCCCCATGACTAGATGCACATTCGCTGTGTCTAACCATGATTTTGTGGAGGCCTACCGATGTCAGACCGTGGTGGTCCAATATCCTTTACTCCAGAAACTGGGCTCTTCTAGCTTGTTGGAACCAAGAACGACCTGTCTGTGCTTCTCTAGCAATGAAACAGATGAATACTACTTCTGTGATGGCTTTTCCTTAAAATACTACGTCATTTTTAAAGGCATTCCAGGCCCATAAGGAAGAGAATTGGTAAGAAACACAGTAAGACAGTTTAGAATTACAGGTTATAACCGTAATAATTAATTTTTTACTTTAATTTTATGGCCTACAGATAATTTACCATCTACTAACAGAGGGGCTCCTTAAGTCATTGTCCTGAACAGAGAACTATTACCAGGCTAACATGGTGGATCACTTTAACTTTATAAAAGCAGCCACATTCCCCGGAACTGTTTGTATTGCAGTTGTTTATCCACTCATTTGATTACATTGTGTCGTTTATCTGTTATATAGTGGCAAAGTTATCATGTGAAAGAAATGTCTGGTACGTTGCTTCCTCTTTCTAGGGCTTTGCCAATGATGTTTGCCGTGGCGTTGGATCTGCGGATATTTGCCAACAACGTGAGTCGCCGTGCAGATTTTGTTTATCTTCTGTCGCGATTCGGCACATGGCGAGATGCCTTATTTGTGTGCCGTGACGTAACATATACGTAACAGTATAGCTAATGTCAGGTGTTTGGGTCGTTTAGTGTGTGACTCCTCGGTACTCTGTGACCGAGAGGGATGGAGTGTTCTGGAAGGAATGTTGATGAGTGAGAGGTTTAATTCCCAGGCGGAGCAGCAGCTTCAGAAGAAGGGGAAAGGCAAGGTGGGGGACATGCTGGAGAAAGCGGCAGACCAGCTGATGGCCTGCTTCCGAGTGTGTGCCAGCGACAAGTGAGGCCCCAGCCGTCACGAACACCCCCCCACACAGGGCTCTGATGTATGGGGCGCCCTCCCCATGACCGCTAACCTCACCACCCCCAATGAGCTCAGCCGAAGAACATGGGAAACGTGATATGAGCCAAAAAGTTTTGCCATTTTAGTTTCTTTTAAAAACAATACGGTTAGTATTTGTTTTTATTAATTTTGAAAAAGTGATCGGAGTGCTACGGGTGGCTCCCCCTCATGGCCAATCTTGTTCTTGCTTACGGAGAGCAAGATGGGTGAGCTGGAAAGAGGAAATCCGTATGGGGAACAATAAAAACTATATATTTGTGTTTGCGCGCGTGTGTGTGTGTGTGTGTGTGTGTGTAGGTATATGTTGAGCAGTATGTGCAGTGTTTCTAGATTCGGGATATTTTTTTTTTATCCTTTTGGGAAAGTTTCTTTGAATAAACAGACCTGATCACACACACATTAACCCCTCGCACCTGGGTGCTGTCTTACAGCCGGGCTGGCATTGAGGACTCTAAGAAATGGGGGATGCTGTTCCTTATCAATCAGCTCTTCAAGATCTATTTCAAGGTGAGTGCTCTCTGCGTCCTGATTGGCCCTGATCGGTAACTGGTTGCCAACCCCCCCCCCCCCCCCCACGCACACAGCTGAATGCTTTAGCTTGAGCTCTATTTCGCTTCAGATCAGCAAGCTGCACCTGTGTAAGCCTCTCATCCGAGCCATTGACAGCTCCAACCTCAAGGACGAGTACAGCATAGCTCAACGAGTCACATACAAGTACTACGTTGGCCGCAAGGCCATGTTTGACAGCGACTTCAAACCAGGTGAATGAGATGCCCGGCCTATGAGCTCACCTCCCCCCACCAATCTTTAAAACAGCCTCATCTGCCTGTATCCTCATATTGCAGCCTATCATTATTAAACAGTGCTGCCTTTTCCTTCTGTCTCATGCTTACTGTTATGCCTGGGCGCCCCCTTGTGGTCAGCGGAGGAATACCTGTCCTTCGCGTTCCAGCACTGTCATCGGTCCTGTCAGAAGAACAAGCGCATGATCCTTATATACCTGCTGCCCGTCAAAATGCTGCTGGTGAGATGCAGCCATTGTTAGTCATCGTTTTTACTTCTGATAGCTTGATTTATGAACGTGAATCACAACATTGGCACCTTCCCCCATTCATAGCGTCATGCTGGTTTGTTTTTAGGGTCACATGCCAACTCTTCTGCTCCTGAAGAAGTATGACCTCATGCAGTTTGCAGATGTCACCCGAGCTGTCAGGTAGGACTCTTTGTCACCTCCTCCACCTCCTCCTTCTCTCCCCGCCCCAACCCTCCACACCCGCCCGCTAACGTTCGCCCTCGACAGCGAGGGGAACCTGCTGCTCCTGAACGAGGCCTTGGCCAAGCACGAGACATTCTTCATCCGCTGTGGCATCTTCCTCATCCTCGAGAAGCTGAAGGTCATCACCTACCGGAACCTCTTCAAGAAAGTGTGAGTGGTTAGCAGTGTAATGGGGTGGGGGGGCGGTCAGACGGGTGCCCTTGTGGGCGGGCAAGTTGATGAGAATCTGTCCCATGAAGGTACCAGCTCCTGAAGACCTATCAGCTGCCACTGGATGCCTTCCTGGTGGCCCTTAAGATGATGCAAGTAGAAGATGTGGACATTGATGAGGTCCAGTGCATCCTGGCCAACCTCATCTACATGGTCAGTCTCCAACCAACTGCTGGCCACCTAGTGTCTGGTTGACATTAAAGCCGAGTCCATCAAGCATATAAGCTCTTCTACATAGCAGCTCTTCACACAAGACCTTAAATCTACCTGTAGTGTTATATACATGTACCTTGAGTACATAAATGTTAATGTGTGATAGAATTACATGAGAGTTCATTCTTCAGGTTGTCTGTTTATTTTTAAGCGTTTTTCTCCCATTTCTTTAATTTCCAGGGTCACATAAAAGGCTACATATCTCACCAACACCAGAAACTGGTGGTCAGCAAGCAGAATCCCTTCCCCCCACTATCCACTGTATCCTGAACTACAGTACCCAGAAAGCCCTGTGTTTCCTGTGCATCCATCGTCCCACCCCAGAGCGTGAACCAGACAGTATCTGTGAATATTCTTGTGGATTGTTCTTTTTTATACTTGCATTTTCTACTTCAAGTGTGAAATAAAATTCTGAAATATTTGTTATTCTTGAGCAAATGCAAAGCTTCATTAACACACACACACATAACGAAACACTAGGAGCAAATTCATTCGGAATGAGTTGAGGGTCTAGCTGGTACCTATGATGAATATCTACAGTTAATATGGTAAGGTCCTCCAGGAAAGGAGACATGGTCACTTTTCAATGTTATCTAGATGACTTTGTATCCAGGGTTGGTAGCGAGAGAGTTTGGTGAAGGTGTATCCTTTGCTACAATCATTTGCTGGGGGTGAGATGAGCAGCCCCGTGACGAAGGCAGTCCTCTTCTCCATCGTGACGATGGGCATGCCAGGTAGCAGGCCGCAGCCACTCTGGCCTCTACCTGCCTTGGGTGCATCTTGGGCGTTTGTGCAGAACATCTTGTTGGTGAGAGTGAACGTGAGGTTCAGTTCTGCCTGGCAGAGCTGCAGGGGGAGGTACGAGGGCGACAGGGTGCCCACCAGGCCCTTGCGCCCGACCTTCATCAGCACGTTCTCGCTGAAGTCCCGCTCGGCGATGCAGGCCCGGAACGCCGCGGGGCCGTACGGAAAATGCTGCCATAGCTGCACCATGGCTAGGTCGCTCCCCGTGGTGTTATTTTCGTACTTGTCGTGCACGATGATCTTGGACACAGACATCCTCAAACTGGGGTCCTTTTCGTCCCCTGGGCCTTTGATAAACCGGCAAGCAGGAAAACAAGATACTTAACATGGTCATAAATGTCGGCCGGTTTTTGAGTTTATAATGCTTTGCTATGTAGTTAAGATAAAATCCCTGTAGCTGCTCTTCCACTTTTTACATCTGAATATTATTCCTAGGGAAGTTCATTTAAAGTACATTTCTCCTCAGATACATCAAATTCTCCCTTCACCTTTACCAAAATAGTTCAGGCTAGACATACATATTGATAAAGGCTCCCATCGCAACTTAATGTTTAACTTGGTGTGTGCTACTGGTCAGTGGCTCTGGTCCTGCAGCATGAATTGTCATATCTTTTTCTGAAAAATGGAAGAAAGTGGTGACCCACCAGCGATGACAAGGAAATTGGGATCCTGAGAGACACAGCTGCCGGTGGTCAGCAGTGAGTGCTGGCCCAGAATGACACCCCTGCAGAATTCCTCCCCATTGGCATGAATCAACCGGACCTGTCGACAGGATAGAATCTTACTTCCATATGCATCGCTAAAAATAAATGCTGTGGCTGGGTTCTAGTTCACTGGGCTCTTCATTCGATCCATGATCTGCATGTTTCTGCATGTTAAATTCTCATTAGATTCTCAAGAACTTCAGTTCCTGGAACTTTCTCAAGACCTGTTGACCACTCTCCCATGTAGACCTTCAAACTTCTATTGAAACTAGGGTGACCACCTAATCCATGTCAGGAGGGACACTATGAGCTACTTCAGCTTTTACGAACTACTTTAAAGCTGAAAGGATTCTGTGCTCTGCTAAAATGTTTGGTTAGTTCCTAGATTGAAAGCCTCATCCAGCTGTTTCGCATTAACATTACCGACGCATATGCATGATTATAGGAGACTGACCAATCAGCATACGGCAAGAACCCAGTGCTTAAGTGAAATCCTGGTCCTTTTAATTGAAATGTATGAAATGGTAGTTTACAAATCCTGTTGTAGCTCATAGTATCCCTCCTGACATGGATTAGGTGGTCACCCTAATTGAAACTGCAGCGGATTCCCACTCATGTGCCTCACCCAGCTTTTGTTGTTCCTGATGTGGAGGACTCACCTGCCATGGACAGTGACCCTGTGGGCAGGGAAGGTCGCTCAGGTTTGGCTGTGGGGCAGCATGGCTTTGAATGGGAGCCCTCCCACAGGGATACGGACCTGTGGAAGAGACATGTTCACCTTGACCCCGATACTGGCAACCGGACACAAGGAAACCTGAGATTTTATTCTGTAAAGTGACCATCCAGGGACTCACAGGACCCTGACAGTTTTTGTGGATATACCCCAACTAAAATTAATTTATAATCAAAGCTGTGCTGTTTTTGCATTTTGTAAGTCTGGGGCTGAGATTTGTTTTGTGCTGAACCTTCAGGCAGGCAGGACCTCCCGTCGCTGTGGATCTTGTAGCCGTCCGCACAGGAACATTTGTACGAGTGGAAGGAAGGATGACAAAAATGTTCACAGGACAAGGGGCCGTCAGAGTGACACTGGGATACATCTATTCATGGAAACAGAGAAGTGTTATAGTGCAGAATGTAATAATGCTGTCCTCGGTATTATACTACGCCATGTCATGCTAAGCTACACTATACTATACTTGTACTATTCTTTAATATACTGTACTATACTATACTATGTTATAGGTGTCAAGTTTTAGAGTCTACAGTCATCATCCATTAACCTTTTATTGTTTTTAACACATTTTCCAGGTTTTCACTGTAGTTGACATGTATTCTATACTATGATCTTGTTTGAAAGCAGGCATTCACACATTTCAGAGTTTCTGAAATTCTAGTGTTGGAACTGAAAAGTGAATCTCAAAAAGTGTGTCCCGCACCCGGGGGCACCCGGCCCTCCCCTTTACCCCTCTCGCAGTTGACCCCCTGGTACAGTTCGGTGCAGGTACAGTTGTAGCCCCCAATCTTGTCGGTGCAGGTCGCACCATGTAGACACGGGTTGGACTGGCACTGGTCACCGTCTGTAAGGGGCACGGAACTGGCATGAGGCTGCTGCGCCAACCTTTCTGCCCATTTCCCAAAACAGCTGCGACACTCACCGTAATACACCGTCCAGAAGGCTTGCTGTTGGACAGAAAAAGAAAAGACAGGGGTTCGAGCTCACAGAAGGTTGGGCAACCCGCATTAGGGAGAACCCAAAACCAACCTCCTTCACAGATATGTCCAACCGCAGAGCCACAAATGATAAGTAAATAAGAAACTCTGGGGTGGAATTATGATAAATGATATGATAAGCTTTGAAGAACATACATCATGATATATAAAAAACACAAAGGGGAATAATCCTTGATTACTGATGATGGGAGGTTTTTGAAACACTGAAGCAGCATGTGAGGTTTCTTACAGCCTTTTGGTCATTCTCGAAGACCTCTCTGGCCTCCTCATAGGTACATCGTTCTTCCATACATTCCCTCTCCAGGTTACCCTGCAAGAACTCCTCAAACAGGAAGGAATTGGCTCTCTTTGGTCGCACCAGGACTGCACTGGCATCCCGTGGGGACTGAAAGACTGAGGAAGATGGAGGAGGAGTAAGACGGAGATGTCATGCCTTCATCTCATCATCGATTATCAGCTGGACAAGTCAGAACCTGAAGAGAATATCTCTAAGGAATACCAAGCTATCTTCCACTTGGACCTAATATCGCAAACCCATGGCCTAGTGTAAAGATAGGAAAATAGTGCCCTTTACAGTCATGTCTGTCACACTTGTTGGGAACAGAAGCACGCAATTTATATGAAAAATTCCCAAAATTTCAATTCAACATTTCAAAATACCTAGCGTCCCTCCCTTATTTTTAACATCAGTCACAGTGCTACACCTGTGGTTGCTTTTCTGTGTTTCCTGGGTGACCTTGTATCCAGGGTGGATAGTGAGACGGTTCGGTGAAGTTCCATATGAAAGCATTAGTTCTCCAGAGATCTCTAAGATGTTTAGCTTTTATAAACTGGATTACATACATTATCCTTGCCAGTGAACACACACGAGTTTCAACGGAATTCCTGATTGAATTTTGAGTAATTGCCCCTGACCACACAGCCCAGCTTTGATGACTGTGTGGACTCAGCTATGATTAAATCACATCAATACAGACAGCCAACCGTGGATTCAGCAGGCATGTATCTTTCACAGCTCTACGATTTCTGGAGACGGACAAACATGGACGGTTACCTTTCAAGCTACTATCAGTGTGAAAGAAGCCGGACAGCAGAGTCAAGGAGAGAAGACGGATCCACGGTGCCATGTTGGTCTATCTTGTGAACAGAGCTGTCTGTCTCTCTGGGATTCCCGAAAACCTGCCCCCCCCCCACCCCACCTCTCCTGTCAACCCCTCCTCTGTTAGGCTCAGCTTGATGAATGTGCAGAACTATTCTGTAACAGAGAGTTATGTGAATGTGTATGATATACATCAAGGTTTTGTAATACAGGCAGCACTTCTGTGGAGCTTCTACTGACACTGATAGTGTCACTAAATGGTGATTAGTATGACATAGTTAGACATGTTCATTAACATTACAAAGCATGACTGAAAATGTAGTGCGAGCATTTTTGCTCATTTTTGCTCATCAGAAGGGCTGCTGTTGTGGGAGCTGGACCAGAAGGTCCGTCAGAACCCGTTGTTCTAATAGTGAACGCTGGTCGTCCAAACAGGCTTGCTGGCGGACTTCAGTCGGGTAAACACGCTTTTTTCATAGGTGGACTCTAGCCGTGCAAACACAGCAAAACAAACGTGAAAACTGAATTGAGCCTGTGGGGGTTTATGTTTTGCCAAGTGATCAGATTTCAGCTCAGCTGAAACTGTAAATATGTCTGCTCCGGGGAAGCAGAAAAGGTGAGACCCTCAAACGAAAACAGGCTCGATACAGCTGGTCCCAGGACACAATGTGAGGATGAAAGAATAACCATGACGTAATCGTGTCTCAAAACCATGTTCTTTACTGTGCATATGGTACAAAATGATAGAAAATGCCTTTATTCCACTACTCTTAATAAGACAAAGGAAATCAGAAGGACACAGTATTAGTTCAACTAAATATAAATTAGCTCATAGATTCCTGTATTTCTTTCTTTATAGCATACAGTGATTGGTTAATGGGAGAGCTGGATGCTAAAGTTTTTGGAAACATAACATTAGTTGTGGAAACAAAACAAGGTTAAGAGACCGTGCTGGCGAGCAAAAGGTTGCTGGTTCAAATCCCACAGTCTGCAGAGTGATGTTACCATTGATTCCTTGAGCAAGGCCCTGAGCCCCCAGTTACTTCAGGGACCGTATGACCTTGCTTGCTTAAAAACTGCATACTGCTTAGGATAACAGTGTCTGCTAAGGAAATGAAAGGCCCTTAGGGTTTTCCTGTAGTTTTATAATGAGAATGTATACCCAGGCATGTCACCACTGTTTTCTAATGGAACAAACTCAAATAGATCCCTGCCTATTATGATGTGATTCTGTAAATTAGCTCTGGGATGGAATTTAACCAGTGCTCTGCTTGAATGAATTTATTCTGGCACCAAAGCTACAGTATTTGAAACAAACAAAAAAGCAGGTCATTCACAAATCTGTTTTATTTATTGCCGTATACATAGTTTACTCCACAACAACTCGTTTTTGCAGAATCCTCCTTCACAGCGTATCCCTCACAGCTGAATGTACTTCCTCTGGACTGCTCGGATCCACTTGATGTACTTGGACACTTGTGTGTAGATACCGTACTTCCCTCGCCGCGCACAGCCTTCTCCCCAGCTGACCACGCCTGTCAGAAACCACGTGTTTTTGTAGCGGGTGACGTGGGGGCCACCACTGTCACCCTGGCACGCGTCCTTGGCCTCGTCGCTGTAGCCGGCGCAGAACATGGTGTTGGAGATCTTCAGGTTGCTGGAGTCGATGCAGGTCTTGCGGTCCACGTAGGGCACGCTGAGCTTGAGCAGCACGGGTGACTGGGGGCCGCCCTCGCGGACACGGCCGAACCCGCTGACCATGCCGTCGGGCTGCCGCATCAGCACACGCTCGGCGAAGTCGCTCTCTGGCAGGCAGGCCGGCAGGATGTACGGCGAGAAGCGGATGGGCTCCTTCATCTTGACGAGTGCGATGTCATTGTGGTACGTGTCAGGCATGTACTGGCTGTGCACCAGCACCAGTTCCACCTCGTGGCGGGTTTCGCGATGCTCGTCCACATTTCTGTTAGTTTCGCCTGCGATAAGGGGCAGTTGGCGGGGGCAGACAGACAAGAAGGGCGATTTTCATTAATGGTCATGCTGCATTAAGCTCATGGGAGTTTTACTTACACAAAGATGTTCTGAGTGCAGAAGGAAGAATGATTGATGCAGAGAGATAACCAATGACATTGTAGAGGAGGTGGGTCCAAATGACTAGAGAAGGCGGGACCAACCATCTTCCATCTGCTCTCAGAACATCTTTGTGTAAAGAAAACTCCCACAAGCTTGCATTAAGCCCCTTAAAAAATGATGCACCATCAAAATTCTTCTAATCAGGTGCTGGCAAATCATTTGGCCAGATTTAATAAGTCTAATTAACCATTCAATTTTTCCCAATGCGGGGCCCCTGATTTTGCCTGTGGGGCCCCTAATTTTGCCTGGGATATATAGCCTAGGATACCCTATGTATTAATCCCCCCCTGACGCTAGCTCAGTAGCTGTAGTGGAGGACTGTTGAACTGTAAAAACGGAGATCCTTAGCTCGCTGATTTAATTCTGGTTTGATGGAGTGTTTTTTGACAGCTGTATGTTTATAATGTGCTATAATTATTTGCCTCATTTCACTTAATTTAGTAGACAAAAACATCCACTAAATAAATACATTTAATAACCTTAAGGGACACATTTGAAAAATGCAAAGTGAAACAGCCATCTTTTATGTGACCTGAAGGCTATACCAGACAGAATAAGGCACAAAGCTGGGGTGACCAGAGTATGACACATAATTAAAGGTGAAAAGTTCAGATATGGAAAGTGCAAATCCAGACCAAGGTTTTATTTCAACCAAGCAGTTGAGTACTCTGTTACTGTGGTTCTTTACACTCAACTGGTCGGTTGCAAAAAAACCTTGGTCAGGATTTGTACTTTCTGGACCTGAACTTTCCACTTCTGCACATAAACACACATGACTCAGGGAAACCTGCCAGCCTAACTGTATGACTTGGGAGGAAACAGTAGTACCCAGAGAAATCCTGTAGAACAACCAGAAGGACATATAAACACAAGACTGGAGGCCTGAATTCAGATCTCTAGAGGTGAAACAACATTATATTTACTTTCCTTTTCATGATTACAAACACTTTTAACCAAATGTCTCTCAGTTGGCAGGAAGACAAGCAACTCTCCAGGGAGCAAAAACTAATGCAGAAATGCGAAACCCTGAAAATTAATTAGCATCATTCCGACTCCAGAAGACGGATTCTGGTTTCCATGGTGAAATGACTTTTTTTTTTTTGAGAGCGTACCCAGGACAACATAGAATGACTGTGTCTCCCTCAGGCAGTGAGCTGCCGTCAGGATGAATTTCTGATTGAGGATAGTTCCACCACAGAAGCCCAGGTCATCCTCGGTTACCAGGAGGGCCTGAGGAAGAGGAAAAGGAAAAACAAAAGGAAGAGGAAGGGGAGAAACTCTCAACTTTATTTGTTACCCATGACAGCTGAAACTGACCACAGTGCATTGGCAGGAGAAGATACAAGTCCGTTACATGACCACAGGACAGGTTTTCAGGCTTACTGTAGGACAGAGGTAGATTGTGCAGGTCCAGAAAGTAAAAATCCAGACCAAGATTTTATTTCATCCAACCATTTGAGTTGAGTACCCTGTGACTGTGACTCTTTATGCTCAACTTGTTGGTTGAAACAAAATCTTGGTCTGGATTTTCACTTTCTGGACCTGAACTATCCACCTCTGCTGAATATCTACCTGCCAGGGGCAATCTCCAGCGGGACACTCCTCGCCACCGACAACACGAAAGTCATTAATAAGTTCCTCATCTTCATAATCATCTTCGGATGATTCCACGGTCGTGTTGCTTGCAGAGATGTTTTGGTGTTGTGTGGCATTGGACAACGGCTTGGAAACTTTAATGCTGCGGGTGTTGTGCTTGCTGACTATGAAGCCGCATTTGAAGGGCTCTGTGTCAGGAACATAGTGTCCGAGCATTTGTATCTGTTACATACAGCAAGAACCACATCAAGTGTGTCTGTCCTAAACATGTGGGACCTGGATTCATATGACCCACTGAATTAAAGACACAAGAAAAACAAACATTTAAACTATTATGAGGGCTGCATGAGGTAGAGATTGGCTTTTTCAGAAAAAGGTAAGCATCCCTCATTATCAGCAAATTTGTTTAGGAGTCACACCTTCTCCTGGCTGGAAATAAATTTTATGTGCAGCCGTATCAGATTCTTTATTTAGCACTTGCTAGCAGTTTCAACACCATGAGGGGGGACACTGGGGGCTGTAGTCCCCATCAAATTACTGCCAGTGCCCCCCGAAAATGATCACCTAGTTTGCCACTAGCCCTCCCCATCCTGGTTGAAATGCTATGTAAAAAAAAATTCTGAACCAAATACACACAGATAGATGCAAAAGACTAAGCAGGCACTGACAACTTTTATGTTATATATAAACTAGATAGATATCTATCTATATCTATCTGTGTCTAACTATATTGATGCGTGTCCGCCTCGCTCTAGCTTACCATTCGACAGGCAGGATTTCCTATCCTCTCCCAGGGTGTATCCATCAGCACATGAGCAGATGACGTGATTATGAACCACGTTACAGAAATGCTCGCAGTCTCCGTTGCTTAAGTCGCATAGCTTTGGTATCGCTACAGAACACGGCAGAGGTGCGGTCAGGAGACAGTATTGGAGGGTTCCAGTGTTACAGTGGCGACTGGCACTAAGACAAAGCTGTCGCTGGCAGTCGCCGTGGTTACATCGCCCTACCGATTTCGCAGTTGGTGCCCTGGAAGCCGGCGGCGCAGTAACACGTGTAACTCCCGATCCCATCCTTGCAGGTGCCATTGTTTATACAGGGAACAGACCTGCAGGAATCCCCATCTGCGGAGTTATAGAGAAAGTCTATGGACAGCCATGATTTCATTCCTGCATTCTCACGCACAAGCAAACACCCCTCCCCCCAAACTGAGAAAAAATGTTGTGCACACACACACACACACACACACATTTATTAACTCATATTCACAGCATAGTTACACAAAATACTGCTTCATTTCCTGCCCCGCCCCCCAGTAGTGCAGAAAGGTAAATCTTACCTACGTAGACGTTCCAGAACTCATTCTAAGAGGAAGAATTAACACATTAAGTTTATGAGAAGGACTGGAGGATGAAAATGATGACAGACATTTCAGAGATTTAAGAGTATTCACATTACACATCCAGAGTGCTGTAACATCTTTACTACAGCAGTTGACTTCCTGTTATTCAGTTCATGGTGCAGTCGCATGGTCAGAGGTGGAAGGGCACTTCCTGTTTTCTTAAGACTGGATGCTTGTTTGGTGTTTCCTTCACATACTGTCACCGTTTCAAGTGGTTTGTGTTTTTTCCACAAATGTTAAGATATTCTGTTGCATTCCAATGACCTGAATATTTATTGTGCACTACAGTTGTGGCAAATGCATTGTACAACCATTCTAGGGGTCAACGTGTGAATGGGACATTTATACAATACGTGTACAAAGCATTAGGGATGCCTTCCTAATATTGTGTTGTACCCACTTGACCTCCTAATAACTTCAATTCATTAGGGAATCAAGGCAATAAAAGTATTTCACAGGGATGAGTTCATCACTTCCCACAGTTGGGTTTCATTAGCTGCTTGTCACGCCTGCAGCTGATCAGCCCTGACCACGCCCAGCTTTATATAAACCCCCACACCTCTAACCATCGCCCTCCCTGCAATACTAACAGCTGCACTGCATCATCAGCAATTAGACTCTGATGGCAGATGAAATTTAACATAGACAAATGTAAGGTACTCCATGTAGGGAGCAGAAATATAAAGTACAGGTATTTTATGGGACCTACTGAAATAAAGGTAGCTGATTATGAGAAAGACCTTGGTGTGTATGTTGATGCTTCCATGTCTCATTCTCGCCAGTGTGGGGAAGCAATAAAAAAGGCCAATAGGATGTTGGGGTATATCTCCAGGTGTGTGGAGTTTAAGTCAAGGGAGGTAATGCTAAGATTATACAATTCCTTGGTGAGACCTCACCTAGAATATTGTGTACAGGTTTGGTCACCATATCTTAAAAAGGACATAGCGGCCTTAGAAAAGGTGCAGCGTAGGGCCACAAGAATGATTCCTGGTCTTGTGTCATACGAGGAAAGGTTATTTGAGCTAAATCTGTTCAGCCTCAAGCAAAGGAGACTGAGGGGGGACATGATCCAGGTCTATAAGATTCTAACAGGTTTGGATGCTGTTCAACCGAATAGTTACTTCAGCATTAGTTCAAATACAAGAACTCGTGGCCATAGGTGGAAATTAGCGGGAGAACATTTCAAACTGGATTTAAGGAAGCACTTCTTTACACAGCGTGTAGTCAGAGTATGGAATAGTCTTCCTGATAACGTAGTGCAAGCTGAATCCTTGGGTTCCTTTAAATCAGAGCTAGATAAGATTTTAACAACTCTGAGCTATTAGTTAAGTTCTCCCCAAGCGAGCTCGATGGGCCGAATGGCCTCCTCTCGTTTGTATATTTCTTATGTTCTTATGTTCTTATGAATATAAGTCTCTCTGAAGATCTTGCAAAGTACTGAGTGTCTTTTTGGCTAGTAGAGCCCTTCTGTGTGTGATTTGTGTTTCCGACCTCCTGGATGTGAAATTCTTGCCTGTGTGTTTTCCTGGTTTTAGTTGCATCGCCAACCAGCTTCTTGTTACTGACCCATTGACGTCTTTGGATTGTTTTGCTTCTCTGCCTTACCGGATTCGATCCTGCCTGTCTCTGACTTTGCTTTCAGCTTCCAAACTGAACATCTTCTCTACCTGATCATTACATTGCTAGTGAATCTGAGGTCTGGCGATTGAGCAGACCACTGCATTAAGCTGAATTCATTGTGTTCATAGGGCCATTCCTGGACATTTTAGGTATCATCTTGCTGACGGACATATTGCTGCCACTAAGGAACGCGCTTAAATCTCGATGTTGAGATATCCCATGTAATTCAAATGCTTAACTCTTCTCAAGGGGCCCAAACTGGATACAGCCAGTCAGTCAGATTCAAGGAAAGAGTAGAATCCCTAATGCTTGGTACACTCTGTGTATATACTCCAAATTGACCAAATAAACCATCTGGAAGCAGCCTAAATATGAGTGTATAAATCTACCAAGCATGTCCATTTATGGACAACAATAATTGAATTGCAGTCCATTTAATACTGCTGGAAGGGAGACAGAATAAGTGTAGAAAAGCCAAAAGGAGTACTCGCCGTACGCTCCTCGTTCTCAAATATCTCCCTGGCCTCCTCGCGGCTACAACGTTCCTCAATGCACTCCCGCTCCATGTCTCCTTTTTTAAACTCCTCAAACAAGCTGTTTGCCCGCCTCCTCCGGCTCAGCACCTGGTTGGCATCCTGGTTCTGAAGGAAAACTGAGGAACACGGGAACCAACTGTCAGCTTCTGGATCCGTCTCTGGAAACTCTTTAATTACGCAGTCGTGCACATGTCTGTCAAATTCTCAATAACCTTTGGATGAAGCACAGAACAGTTGTTAGTGGCAGAGCACAACTTCTCCCTCATAAGAACGTAGAAATATGAGCATAGATAAGAACATAGATGAGCTCCTTGATATCCTCTCTCAAAAAAAACCAAAAACAGGTTAATGCAATTTTCACATCAGTTGGCCGTTGTTCTGCACACCGAGTACTTTAACAAGCTGAATATGGCATGATGATCTCACCAAGGTACCTCTGAAGGCTGGTGTTGACTTCATGGATGAAATAGCTACAACCATCAATGTTTATGATATTTTCCTTTCCCAGGTAGCATGGTGATTAAGTGACTTCCTATTTCAAATTCTTCAGAAGTCCAGTTGTCTTATTATGACCAAACTTTAATTGCTCCATAGACTCTATACATACATACATGTATAGTAGAAATGTTGAACCGTGAACAATGCAGATACGCATTCCTATGGTGTTTGTATTGTGAAGTCCATGCATGGCATTGGCTCCCCACAGCAGCCTGCGAAATCGTGCCCCGCTTACAGTACCTACCTCCCGTTTCAGCCTCGGGCAGCAGTGATAGGAGGAGAAGACCGGCCTGGATAAAACAGAACATGGTGCTTTCCAGCTGAATATTGCACTTTCCACGCTGCCACAGCCAGAATGGATCTGACGGGGAATGTCATTGACCCCCATTGCAAACAAAGGGGGGAGGGGTCAGCAAGGCAAGGAGAAGTGATTGGAGGATGGAGAAATGAAATGGGAGGAGATGATGGACAAAAACAGCAAGTGAGGAGACTTTGAAGGGGTGGGGGCAGAGCTATGACCCAATGCAATCCTCGTCCTTAAAAGGCAACTCAGGAAGTCATTGAAGACCATCAGCAAGTCCACCAATGGCAACCCATGTCGGGGGTCGTTCCAGGAGAGTTGTGTACATATCTGAGCACACCCTGTGACCCATGTTCTCCAAATGATTCGGCCTCTGTCTGTGTTGTGCAAGCCTACATATGTGAGTAGGTCTTTCATATGAGCTCCAACTGCTTCAATAGATGTTCTCCAGGGGGTAGAGTGTGGCTCAGCAGGTTGGGATGCTATGTCTGTAATTGGAAGGCTGCTGGTTCAAATCCAAGGGTTAAGAGAACAATTTTACTGATGGGCAATGTTGCTCCCGGAAGTGGCTAACCCTGCTCTGTCAAAGATGCATATCTGTTAAATAAGATGTTAAGCTGGATCGATGGCAGACCTCAATGTTATACACATGACAAGGGGTGGGTTCACGTATTGGAAAAATACTTAAGGCAATGTTACTGCTTTCATGAAGTTTTATTTAGTCAAAACAGGGAATCAAAAAACACCTTTAGCTGATGTTAACATTCAAGCCTCACATGACACAACCTGCGGGAAGAATACTCAGGTGAGTTGCTGCTCTATGACCACAGGGGGCAGCGTTTGGTTAGTGGAAGAATGAGGATGCCCGTCTGTCGGCGCGATACCCGAACTCATGTGCGCGTGCAGCCAGTCTAAGAAGTTGGAGACCTTGGTGTATATCTTGAAGTATCCCTGGTAGGTGCAGGCCCTGAAACCCACCAGCCCCGTCAGGAAGGCTGTGTCCCCATAGCGTGTCACCAGGGGACTCCCGTTGTCCTCCTTGCAGCTGCTCAGGGTGGTCCCTTCGAGGTAGCCGGCGCAGAACATGTTGCTGGTGAGGTTCATGCCGCTCTTCAGTGCACATTGCTCGGGGGACAGGGGTGGAACGGCCATCCGCCATAAGAGGCGTGAGGTGGGCGGGTACAGGGACACTGCGTCTCCCTGGAGGTACCCAGCCTTGATCCGGCAGCCCCAGCCGCTGACGATGGAGTAGCGCATGGCCACCAGCTCGTTCTCGGCAAACTCCTTCCGCGGGAGGCACACGGGCGCGGCGTAGTTGGAGAATACGATGGGCTGGTGAAGCCTCAACAGGGCAATGTTGCTATCGCTAGTTGTGACATTGTACAGCTCGTGGAGGACAGCTTCGGCCACGCGGATCTTCTGCTCCGTGCCCTCCACCAGCCTCAGGTCGTGCTCCCCTGTGGGAACGACGGTAAACAGCTTCGTAAAGGAGGGGGGGGGGGGGGTGCGTGCGGCCGCACAGACACGCGTGACCTACCTGCGACCACCATCAGGTCCTCCACATTCAGGTTGATCAGACAGTGGGCAGTGGTGACCACCCAGCTGGGATGAACGATGACCCCCCCACAGTAGCTAGAGCCTTTGTGCTGCAACAAAACCTGTAATCCGGCCCACCCCAAAGATACAGATCAAAACATCAAACTGAACCAACTAGTAGCAACAACCGGGGCTGCATAAACTAATGGCTGAGCCCTTGAAAAATTCTACCAAATGAGCTCAAAACCAATATCCACCCTCATGCCCCCTGTAGTGTCAGAGTCCCTGATAGTCTTCCCCTTTCTCCCCTGGCAGCCACAGATGTACGTGACTTAATGATCGCATTGAGACTTCCCAGCTTTCCTCTGTGGGACTCTGAGCAAAGGTCACTCGTGGTTGCAGTTGAGGGTTCACACCTGCCAGGGGCAGTGGCCTTTGGGGCAGTACTGGCCATACTCTGATTCTCTCGTTGTCTTGTTGGCCTGCAGTTTTGAGGCCTCCAAGAGTGGAACCTTACCACAGGGATACTGCACTGTGAGACAAACACACAGCTTGGTATAAAAAACTGTGTCACATAGATTCAGATGGGGAGGCGGTAATTAAATACATTTAGTTCCTAACTTTAAACTTTTAATTTTTTCAACCAATTTATACAGCTGGAGTATTTTTTTTCAAGGATGCCTCAGGTTACCAGTTCACATCCTTAACCGCTACATCACCTGCTGCCTACTGCAGGTATTACAGCTACCCCCACTACCTCCCAATCTCCTCACCTTCAGCGACGCAGCTCCGCCCGTCCTCCGCCACGGCGTGGCCATCAGCACACGCGCACGTTACCTGTCCCCCTGTGTCATTGCAGAAGTGCTCACAGCCCCCATTCAGATAGCGACACTTCAGTGTTTCAGCTACTCCGGCTGTGGGAAACGGGGGAAAGTCGGCTTGCGGGTGGGGTGGGGCACTGACACAGTGTGGGCTCACCAGAGAAATGATGCTTCATTTATCTGGGACGCCTCGAGCATTTCAGGGCGGTTGCTGAAGGGCCCAATGGACATGTGACTATTCTGCCAAGGATGGGCTTCAGCTCGGTGACCTTCCTGTCATAGGTGCAGTATCCTAACCCAGTGTTTCCCAATCTGGTCCTCAGGGACCCACAGCCAGTCCATGTTTTTGCTCCTTCCCAGCTGGGAGCAGAAATGTGGTCTGCCTGGAAGGGACCATGAATAGAGTGACCACCTAATCCATGTCAGGAGGGATACATTGAGCTACGAAAGGGCTTGAAATGGTTGTATTTTAACCATTTCAATTAAAAGGACCCATATTTCACTTAAGCACTGAGTTCTTGTTGTGTGCTGATTGGTCAGTCTCCTATTATCATACATGTGTCATTAATGTTAATGTGAAACAGCTGGATGAGTCTTTCAATCAAGGAAACAAGCCAGTAAAAGTACAAGACAAACCAAACTATTGAACAGAACATGGGAGACTAAGTTTTAAAGTAGTCTGTAAAACCTGAAATAGCTCAAAGTGTCCCTACTGACATGGATCGGGTGGTCACCCAAAGCATGGAGGGAGCGAAACCGTGGACCGGCTGTAGGCTCCTGAGGACCGGATTGGGAAACAGTCTCCAAACCCACTGAGCCACACACTGGCCCATTATCACGCATCATGCATCACCATTTGACATGGTTATAGTCTCAACAAAGGCAATAACCTACAAGTCTACAGCACTATAAAAGCACATTTTGTGGCTGGGGACCTGCTAGGTGCAGTCGTTTTTGTGCCTCACTAACCTTCTTGGCAGTGTCTCCCTTGGAACCCATCGGGACACTGGCACTGATAGATCGATAGAAAATGGACACACTTTCCGTTGTTGAGGCACGGATTGGGGTCACATGGGTTACGGTCTGAGGGAGAACAACAATGGTGATAACTTACTTCTGGGACATCCCACATATTTTCATCAGCTCCTGACACAATCACTGTGATATGCTCACTTACTTCTGTACATCGTCCAAAACCGATTCTGTGGAAAAAAAAACCCAGAAGATAATTACTATACAAATGGGATGAAAATACTGTTCCAGATTTAAGCATCAGGGTTCCTTTCACTTGAGTACATTTGCAAAAGTGCAAAAAGGTAAAAATACGTAGAAGAACCATGCAGATGTTCCCAATAAACAAGTTGGGAAGTAGCTTTAGCATTGCTGTTGCTCTGCAATCTCTCAATTTCATGTTAAAAGAAAAAATTTCTAATGGAAATTATGAGCTTTACCGCCAAGGTGTCATCCTCAAAGACCTCCCGTGCCTCCTCATAGTCGCACACCTCCTCGATGCACTCCCGTTCCAGGTTGCCCTGCTTCAGCTCCTCTAGCAGGCCGGTGTTGGCTCGTCGGGGACGGTGCAGGACAGAATGGGCAACATATGGCCTCAGGAAAACTTTGGAAAGACGGAAAGATGAGCCTGGTGAAGAGCCAGGTCACAGAGGCTAAGACAAACCCCACAAAGTGCCATAATGTGTTTTGAAAACCGCTGAGGATAATAGATTAGCATAATTGAGTAGAACAGTTATTTCGAGAACATGAATAATTTAGGTAAAGGAACATGGATATAGGTAAATAGCATTTGTTACTTATAAAAATAGTAGTGCTGTCAATTTTTAATCAGATTAATCACAGGGTTGCTGTGGATTAATTTCGATTAATCACGATTAAATATCCTTCATTTTTAATCTATCTTAATCACACTTCATTTTGCATGAGCAAACAGACTCAAGTAAAAAGGGAATATACACTCACCTAAAGGATTATTAGGAACACCATACTAATACGGTGTTTGACCCCCTTTCGCCTTCAGAACTGCCTTAATTCTACGTGGCATTGATTCAACAAGGTGCTGAAAGCATTCTTTAGAAATGTTGGCCCATATTGATGGGCCAATGTTGGCCCGTCTGG